CCGATGATGCTGCTTGGCCTGCTGTGTTCATCCAGCCCTGCACCTTGTTGTCATAAATGTACTTGTAAAGGGTTTTGCCATTTTAGCATGTTGCCCAATTCTCTGTAAATTTCAAAATTAAAAGAATCCTAACGCACTGATGAAACAAGCTCAAACCATTTTTTTTCAGATGCAAACCTACAGGTATAGGTAAGATTAATATATAGGGTTAATCAGTTTTCGAACGTTGCGGTTGACAGGGTTCAGTTCATGGTAACAAACCCTGGCTTCGTGGCCCTTTCAGTGCAAAAGCATTCTGAGTATATTCCACACGAGATTATGGCAAAGGTTAACCTTCTAACACTTCATTAATTGATTTTGCACTTTAAAATAGAATGCATGTTTGATGTTTTTCGACATTATCCATGAATGCAATTCTTATGGAGTTCGACTTTCCGATTGTGACATTCTTGTAAAGAAGTGCCTTTATGAAGTACCCTGCAAATATTTTGCCACTTACCCTCACATTCACTGTTCCTTAATGGTAAATTCTTTGAGAAATTCTGGGAGATTCTGTTCTGGGAGAAATCATTCCATTTGGTTGGAACATTTTCCTTGCTAGAAGGGACTGTTCAAACTGCAGTAGCACACCACTTAGGCTTTCATAGAGCAGCACTGTTAGCCGCAGATATGGACAAGTTTATAGCCCACACTATCCCAGTCTTCCATCTACCAACAGCTGTAAGGCATTAATTTAGAAGGAAGTGGTATTGGCATAACTGTTGTTTGAATAGTGGCTTTACCATTAGTCTTAAGACAAGGCACCTCTTTTCCTGCTCAATCTTAATATGAAGTTAACAGAAAGATTGGCCTTGTCCAATTTTTTGACACGTATCTCAAGTATGTTTCTTGTCCAATTATGATTATGTTAGAAATGCTGACCACATCTCTGCTCCCACTGAAATAGTTTCTATCACTAGTTTATTAAAGTTTTTAGTCCTTTGAAATGATATAGCATCCATCAAAAATCGCCTTTTAAGATTTCAGAGGCCTCTCTAAGAATTGGACGTTCATTTGATGGAGAGTACAAAATAATTTTGGCAATCGTAACTGTTTTTATTCACTTACTACAAGGTTAGATTGCTACAGTTAAGTTGCTCACTTCCTTACTCATTTGTTCTCTAAATAGTTCATTTTATATCAATCTTTCTTTTGATTTTGCTGTGGTCATCTTTCCTGAAATTCTTCCTTTTACATTTAAGGTTTTCTTTTGTGTCTTATGAAAGGAATAGCAATTCCTAGAAATGGAACACTTCACTTTAGGTACACTATCAATGTCAAGTACATCAGGTTTGATAGCACAAACAACTTAACGTTTTCTTTCTAAAATATCATTCGTTTATAGAACTTGTTTAAATACAATTCAAAACATTTTGTCTTATTAAGTGCAATAAAATTCAATTTTTCTCCTTTCAGTGCATTCTTAGGCACTTCAAAACAATTGCAATATTCTTAGTATTTAATATACGCTCCTTTTCAGATATATACCTGATGGCAAATCATATCAAATTTGAAACTACAGAATGTCATAGAGTCAATGTTGTACAGCATGGAAACAGACCATTTGGTCCAACTCGTCCATGCCGACCAGCTATCCTAAATTAATCTAGTCCTATTTGCCAGCATTTGGCTCATAACCCTCTAAACCCTTCCTGTTCATCCAGATGCCTTTTAAATGTTGCTATTGTACCGGTCTCCACCACTTCCTCTGGCAGTTCATTCCATACATGCACCACTCTGTGCGTGAAAAAAGTTGCACCTTAGGTCCCTTTTAAATCTTTCTTCTCTCACCTTGAACCTAGCCCTTTAGTTTTGGACACCCCCACTTCAGGGAAAGGACCTTGGCTATTCACTCTATCCATGCCCCTCATGATTTTATAACTTTGATAAGGTTACCCTTCAGGCTCTGATGCTCCAGGGAAAATAGCCTCAGCCTTTCCCTAAAGCACAAACCTTCCAACCCTGGCAACGTCATCGTTAGTCTTTTCTGAACCCTTTCAAAAGTGCAATAGAATCTAACTTTTCTCTAAACAGCTTGTTTTACTTTGTAGTGCTTCAATATGATGTCAGTATTTTTGAGTATTCCTTATCAATTCTGGTCTGTCAGCTAAAAGGGCTTTGACAGCAACTTTTCCCCACTGCAACTCTGCAGCAGCTCCCCCAAGCCTTCGTGAATCCTTCAGCATGTAGCCCTGCA